TTTATTGTATTTCCAGACTTGCCTTCGGCACAATTTAGAGTGCGCGCTACTCTGTTTTTGTCAGACTTGAAATAGCTGAAATACCTTCACACTACGGAACTTCTCTGGCTCTTCCGTTCGACAATCTCTCCGGCATTGGAACCATCATCTGTTTTCTCTTCGGTAACCTTCGGTCACGCTCTCGGTTGATTTTTCTCTAGTCGGCGCACTCGGTCCTTCAGTAAAAGACGTTGGTGCTCTTCCCATGTTCATGTGTCCTGCTCTTAACTTCACACAATATGAACTCTTCAAATATCGCCAAACTGTTGAACAGGAAAAATGTTCACTCAAGCTTTCCCAGTAGAGTTTAACTGGTTTTTATGTTAGTAACCAGCAGAGGTTACTAACTTGTTCATCGTGGTGGATGCGAACCTGAACTTTTGCTTTGTTTTTGGTGGTTCGTAGAGCTGGAGGCCAAGGAGCGGGTGATGGAGGGCATGCGTTTGGCTCTGTCGGAACAGGAGGATACTCAGGAGCAGATGGAGCAGGTCCTGGAGGAGAAACTTAACCTCAATCAGGAGCTCTCCAGTGGTAAGAAACAGGAGGTGAAAAGAAGGCAGGTTTTAGTAGTTAGAGGAAGTCAAAGGCTCTCGTACGGACACTGGCTCAGGTTCAGTCTTTTATAGTTCAAAGCAACAGTTGATCGACCTTTGACACGCTCTACTTCTAGTTTTCATAGCTTTAATTATACAGTAAATAGAGATGTTCTCTGCCCATTTTCTTTCTCTTTACTGTACTTCTTGCATTTCTACTCTCATCTCTTACTAGTTATTGTAAAGCTATACTCAAAGTTGCATTTAACTTGTTGCTGTGTCGTCAGTCTTCGTTCTGTGCTGTAAACCTTTTCAGAGGTGGACAAATTGAAAGAGATGCTGCAGCAGCAGGGAAGTGGAAACAACACACACCAGCAGCTCGGCAACAGCCAATCAGATGACTTAAAAAGGGCCAAACAGGAAGCAGCTGAAGCTCAGGACAGCGTGAAGGTACAGAAGCAGATTCATTATTAGCATTTGTGTTGATGTCCCAG